ACAGTGTATGCCCTTAGCTCCAATCAGATTGATGTACATTAAACATTTATTGTAAATTAAAAAAGTACGTAATTGATTCATGTTATACTTGGTGTGTTTCTGTATAATTACCCTTAAACTAGACACTTATGAGACTCGTGTTAGTTTAGAATGTTCTCAGCCGTTGGATAGACCTGGGGAGGTTTATCTTGCCAAGGCTAACACTAATGTGCTGCCAAGTCGGTTGGAGTAGCTTGTCTCAGCTGTCAGGGTTAGACCCAAAGCACATATAGTGTGTGTTTGCTTAAAACACTAAACCCGGACCATTTTCTAGTTATGCCCTAGACCTTAGAGATTGGTAAGGAAAACTGAAAAGTTACACCTAACCCCTAGACTCGATTGTGGTACTGCACTGAGTGTTAGATTGGGTTGTCTTTGACATGCCAATTTATGAGATCCTTAGAGGGGGGTCAAAACCTGGGTATGTTGGGGAAGTCTGAGAATTCACTCGAGTGGGTGATCATAGTAACAGGATCAGCCCCTTTGTCGGACAAAGTGATTGATTGGGACTATACTCTCTGATGGAAACCAAAACTACCGGTAGTCAATTTCAACCGTGTTTGAGATTTATTTTGCAAAATATATTTATATAAAAATATATACATATATATATATATATATATATTATGTTTTATGAAAATGTTTGCAAAAGGTTTTAATTCCTGGGATCCATCCGAGTAGAGAGTGCAACACTGTACCTTGCAGCCAAGGGAGAGGTCCTCTCTTGCCGGGCAGTGTTTGATCATTAAGGGTTGAGAGGTTAAGTGTAAGACCATTTAGGGCCTTTATACCTGATGGGCTAATCTCACTTAAGTCCATTGTCTTTGGGCCTTCATAGGATAGCTGGACTCAATGACCATTTAGTGTAAACGGTGGGCCAATTAAGAGCCCATACTAATAGACTCAAGGGTTCAATGTGCTTAGTAGTGAATTCAGCCAAGCTTTGTCACAGAAGCTAGGCTAAACCCATATAGCTTTTGCGAGGTCAATGTTAGGGCCCCACGCCATACAAAGAGAGATAAGTTAACCAGAAATTAAAAGGGGACGTGAGCCAACTTGCTTAATGGGCCTAAGGCCCATAATTAACTGGATTAATTAAGAAGTCACATGACAACTTAAGCAGTCATGTAACTTGGGTGAATTTGGGTATGGATATGGGCTTAGATTAGCAATTGGATAAGAGGATAAACCTTATCCACTTAAGGAGTCCAAATCCAAATAAAAATTTGGATTAGGAAGCTCCTAATTGGATTAGGATAAGCTAATCTTTAAGGCTTATAAATAGAGGGGGGCGAACTGCTCCAAATTACACCTTTCTACTCTCAGTTTTCTCCCTCTATTCTTGCCTCCCCAAACCCTAATTCGATCTCCAGATTTTGGACTGATAGAAATCAGTTCCTACCTCTGATTTTACAAGAAAATCATATCAGATTTTGTGCTCATACTCCCTTGCTCGACCCAAGCTGTTGGATTGCAGTTCTTGCTGAAGGACTACATTGCTAAACCTACTTCATCTCAAACTACGCCATCTTCAGTGGAAGCGGGTTTTGGTACTCCATTTGGGCTTGAACACCTACTTTGGGAGCTACACGTGTGGATTCCGTATCAGGTATTGCTCTCATTTTCTTTTGGTTTCAAATCTGTTTCGATTTGGTTCAAGAACGACCCTTGAAAAATGCAATTTTTCTAAAACTGAGAATACAATTCCCAAAAAGGAGAAAAGAAATTTTTGAAATTTTGCCCAGTCACCTTGCATGGTTCGGCCATCCATATGATGGATCTCCTTTCCCTTCAGGCCTCATCCATCTTCCACCTCCTGTTACTAACTTGACCATTGGAGTCTCCGCTTCGAGTGCCAACCCGGGGCCTCTGACAAGCTATCTCACCTCGCAGGATCGATCTACCCGCCCTTGGCCACCTCAGACACCTTGACTTCGGACACCTCGCACCTCGGCTTAGGAGCAAACTAACAGTATTGACCTCAACCAATCTGAGCATCAACAGCATTTAAAGAAGACTTTCTGCTTAACTACCAGTTTACTTCTCTAGTATATCTAGATACAGAGATAAGAACATAAAAAAAAAAAGAATGCATTCCGTACTTACCTTTATCAACAAAGAAGTCTTATTTAGAATGAAAAATTACCCCCATCAACTAAAAACCCTTTTCTCAATCCTATTGTAAATTTTTATTTTCAATTTTATTGTACCATTTTATTCCAATTCCATTGTATTTTTTTTTTCAATTTAATTTTATTACTTCATATATGATCAATTGTACACATTAAATTAAATTAAACAAAATTTTTGGAATTTTCTTTTCAATTTGTTGTATATTTTGATAAGCTTTTTATTATTTTTAATTTTTTTCAAATCTTTTGTCACTTTTTACTTAACAAAAATGTGAAAGAGGAAAGAGAACGGGCCAGTGACCCCGCACAATATGGCACTGGCCAGCCTGAGCTTGGGCCTCAACACTCAGGTGGTGCTGGGCTTCCCTTTTGAGGAACTTGTGCCAGGTAAGCACGACCCACTACAGTGTGGCCCACAAAAGTCTAACTAGTACTGGTATCATAAAATGACAGGTTCATTGGTCAAAATTCTTAAACACTCCCTATAGTTTCACCTATTCGTTAATTTGACCTTCTGACTTGTTCACAGTTGGGCTTTACCACTAGTCAATAGAAAATGTTGAGGCCCGAACCTGAGCCTGGCTCATGGTGGTTACACTCAATGTTTAGTGAACCAGACCGGGCATAGAACCGGAGAAGAGAGAGATTCACAAGTCAAAGGTTCAACCGGAGTCGAACTGTGATGACATAGCATATACATATATATACTATTGGTCATATAAATACTATATATAATTAAGGTTCTAAATATCAATATAGGTCAATACGTCGGCATGGCGTGTCAGTCTATATCGGTGCTTTTTTTATGTTTTATTTACTTTTTTCAAAACTAGTTCAGAGGGGTTGGTTTAAGTCCCAACTATCCTCTGAACCATGGCCTGACCCAATACACCCCTTATAGGGGCGTATTGGGAAGGCCCCGATACAATATGTATCGGCTGATACATAACGATATTTTGAAAGTTGTATATAATATATTTTACAACTTTTAATTTGCTTAAATAAGGTGGATGGATGGTAAGTTTCTTAATTTTTAAAACAATCAACTAGGGTTCAAGCCTTTTAACTTATATTTTCTTTAAAATGCGTGCATAATAATGTAATATGTATAATAAAGTCATTAATTAGAATAAGTAAAGAAGTGGATTAGTGGTAATTAAGTAATTCGCGAAATTGACAAACTGTACCCTTACTATTTATGTATTGTCTTAAATTACGCATGCCCTTAAACACTAACAAAAAAATGAAATATCGAATTTTCCCTTCACCATTCATAAAAATTTCAAAATAAAGCACAACTGACTGTGTAGACCAGTTCATTTTGCCCTTGTTAGTGCAAATTAACAAAACTACAGTTTTAGTTGTCCATCACGTTTGAAATTCAACCATGGCTAGCAAAGAGCGAGGGCAGGAACTAGAGCAAGAATGCCTTTACAAGACGAAGGCCGTACAAAGCAAGAATGCCTTTACAAGATTTGTCTTTTGTTTTAAATGAAAAACCTTTCTTCACTCAGCTCTTTGTTCTGTTTTTCTTTTCTTTATTCTCTGTATTTTATGTTGCTATGTCTGATCTGGTTTTTTTCCTTCTCTGGGTTTTCGTTATGCTTCGAAATTATCGAAGTTCATATCTATGTATCTTTCCTGCTATTTCTGCGTGAAATTTTTTGGGGCGGCCATCCAAACCTTCTCTCCTTCCCCTTTTTCTTCAACCCGCAGCTGATCAGCTCCCCTGTTTTTTCCTTCACATCGTTGGGCTGGGGAAAACGACCGCTATAGTTGCATCATTGGGTTGGGGGATAACAGCCGTCGGTTGGATTGCAAACCATGACAACATCAGCTGGGTTGCCAATGACGGAAGTCGGTTTGAGCGATTTTAATCCCAACAGAAATGGGGCCAACGCGCGGTGCTGGAGGTGATGGTGGCTAATTCCTCTATGTATCCTAATTAATGCATGAAATGGAAAGAATTGATGATGAAGTAACGGCAGTGGAATGCTTGGTAGGATTGTGTGCTTTGGTGCCTTCTAGGTTAAGGTTTGTCTTGACCAAGTTAGATGGGTTTTGGAACTCACTTGTGTTGTGGGGTGATGACAGGGGTGAGGAAGGAAGGAAGAGCGAAAGGTTCAGGTGGAAGGCTCGGTCTTCAACTGCTTAAGAATTTGCCTCCTTTCAGCCAAGTTATCATGGATGTGTTTAGCAGGCCTAGTTAGAACTTAAAAATTAGAAAGCAGGTCGTGTTGTTTCTTTAGAGACATCAAAGTGATCGTGGTGTTCCGTCGTCACTATAATTGTCACCAGTGACGATGTTCCAACAGCAGCAATGAACAATAAGGATATTTTAAGAATTTTAAAATAATAAACAATTACGTGATGTCACATGTAAATGGAATGACGGAAAATTAACGACAAAGGAGGTGTTAGAAAATTGTCAGAAAACTTAAGGATAGCTTAAGATTATATATAAACAATAAGGATACAATTTGTCAATTTTGTGAACAGTAAGGATAACTTAAGAGATTTAACCTTAAGTAATCTGTGAAAATAAGAGGTATTGAGTTCAAATCTCGTTAACAATACTTAAAAATTTCATTTATGTATGAACCCGAGTGGTTTCATGAAACTGGGACCGGTTCACCGGTTTAACCAACCAGTTAGCCTGTTTACAACAGTTTTTGAGCAAGTCCGATTATTGGGATATGACTGAACCAGTCAAGGCCCTGGCTCATGGTTCAACCGGTTCAACAAGCTGGTCCGATCCAGTTTTCTAAACACTGGTTACACTTCAAAATATTTCTTGACCACAAAACTGAGAATCCATCCAGCCAGCCAGGAAATAAAGCCGAACCAAATAGCTAAACTGCAATTAACATTTTACATAGGGTACTGTTACTAACAGCTTAAACAAAAAGCAATTAAGTCAGAATCAAGCCTTGATCCAGCCTAGAAATATGAACAATGGGATCTGAGCCAGAGCCAACAAAAGCAAGCAATAGTTGTGCATACTCGAAGCATGACTCCTCACCTCTGCAAACAGAACTCTCTTCATTGTTTTAACCAAGAAAACCCCCATGGACAAGGCTGTCCAAGTCATCAGAAAATAGTAAGAGAAGCTCCAGATGATCCTGCCAAGTATATTCACACAAACTCCTGTAAAAGCATATCCCCCATATGCCACCATGTCCAACAATGGGGCCTCTCCACTTCCCAATGTATACAACATTAATTTAAGCACCAAGACTTGTCCAAACCAACAACCAAGTCCCCATGTGAACTGTAGACTCAAGGCTTCTGGGCTAAACCTGGCAAAAATGAAGGGCCGATAAAAGAATTGCTGGGTTAATGAACAAAAACATTGAAAGAAAGAATCCCTCCCTAAATGGCTAAGAATGCAGATGCTTACCTTCCAAGAAGACCCATTAAGAATCCAGAAAGAACCACATAGGTACCAAAGGCCATTAAGGGAATGTACAAATCTGGAGCATTGATATCATAAATTGGTGGTTTATAGGAGAGCCTACCACCAACTGGTTCGGTTATCCTTGTCCAGTGCCCCTGCCAGAAATGAATGCAAGAAATTACTTTTGCAAACTTAAAGGAAGAAAGCGAGAACCAACTTCTGGATAAATCCTTGCTTACTCTGTGCAGAAATGGGAATAGGACAACCTTCAATTTGTTTCTGACATACTGGTCATTCACTTGAAAATAGTACTGGGGATCAGAGAAATACCTGCTTATCTGCACATATTGGGAGAAATGGTGAGAAGTATACAATCAAATATCCTACATCATATGGTACAATTTCCACATCCCGATGTTCTTCCCCATGGATAGAGTGTGACTTGGTATATTGGAGCATTGAAGCAGTCAACAACAATTTCCATGCCCATATCCCAAATGGAATAGGATTAAAATTTACTGTCCACGAGGAAACCCATCCTACATTACTATTTATCTGTGAAATCAGTGCATAAAACCAAATATACAATCAAAACATGAGGAAAAGAAGTCATATTTCCATTTATTTTCCCCTTATGTTCATTATATTCCCCTCTTCATTGGATATAGTTGTACTCTAGCCTCAGCATACTACATACATTGCTTTGTACATACTCAGAGCTTGAACCCAATATTTTCTCTCCATATGCACCTAGTCCACCTCGGATGAGTCCTGAACCAGCTCCATAGAAAGCATTACCAAATGGATTAGGTTGGGGATTCAGAGAGGGTCTTGGCACCCCAGACTGAGTTCCCAAACTGTCGTACATCCCTGTAATGTAAAGGAAAACAAAGAATGGTAAAATGAGATTCAAGTTTTGCAGAATAAAGCCTCAAGCTCTCTTGAACAAAGGAGGAAAAAGGGGACAAAGCTCTCTTGACAAGAAGTAAAATTCTTGTATGTAAAATAGTCATCAATAAAAGTCAAGTAGAAAGTTCACAGAATGTAGAATAAAGCCTCAAGCTTTCAAGACAAAGAAGATACTGGTGGAAAAACAGATTTCAATGGGTTTTTCTTTTTCTTTCTTTTCTGGAAAGAGTTATTGTTTTAGAGATTGGATTCTTCTACCCAAGGCCTTACTACCTTATTTCCTACAAGTACACTTAAAATAGAGAAGAAATTCATACACAAGTGAAAGACATGAAAATTTTGAAATCTGCCAAATTACTTGGAGAATATTTAATATACATTCTACTAGTAGTACAAGTATTGATCATACCTAATCTATTTGAGTCAATAAGTGAAAAATATTTATTTTAGCAATAAAAATTACAAGCATCAACTAAAATAATGTTATTTCCTTATGCAATTAGTTATATCCCAGGAACCTTCATAGGTCAATCACATAGTCAGCTGAATTGCTTGATCCTACTGACTTGCAAACTATTTTGTACCATTTGGCAAGTCGGTCCACAATAATTTCTAAAAGTTTTTCCATGTCAACAAACTATCCTTTAAGGATTCTAAAATATCAAGTTCTTCTAGGAAATCTCTCATTTGATTACACAAAAGAATGTATAGTACCTAACACTTAGGAAACTTGAGATTTTGTAGAAGGCAACCAAAAAAACAAAAGAAGGTGAACTGAAAAATGAATTTTAGAAACCTACCCATAACAAACTGGGTTCATTTAATAGCACTGGTTTCTTTTTATTTTGATAGGTAATAGAAACAAGAGAAATGAACTATGAACCATCAATCTGAATCTGAACTAAGGGAACCAAGAAACTAGTTAACTACGGTCAATCCACAACAACCCAACAAGAAGAGATGAAAAGGCTAGGTAAGGATTTTTTTTTTAATCAATAACAGAAGATTTCATTGAAGAAAACTAAGGAGATAAAGGGAGGAGATAACCTGTCTTACCTCCTCCCCCAACAAGAAACAAACAAAGCAGAAAAATTACAGTTGAACCCCAAACAAAGTACCCCAATAAATCATTTTGACTGGGGGAGGATGGCATAGGGTGTTCAGGATATCAAACACATAACTATAAGTGAACTCCTTGAGCTTCAAATGAAAATCAAGGAAAAGTGTAATCAGTTCACCATTGTACTTGCATCCAGTATTTGGTGTGCTAAAACTTGCTCAATTTGTTTGATTTTGGTGTCATTAGAAAGCTTATTTAGTTACTAGTTGGGACTCGTGTCATGCACGGGTTTTATTAAGAAAAATTGAGGAAGGAGCTCTATGATATTTCCAATTATTTTTTGGGTCATGTCTAGTTTTCTCTATACTAAAAATTCATTAAAAAAAGAGAAATTACAAGGGGAAGGTGATAAGAAATCACCCGAGAGAAAAATGACTCACAGAAACATTGACAATCAAATTCACTTTCAACATCTCTGACCAGAAAACAACTCCAACAGGCCCTTCTCATAGACAGAATTATTCATCCCCATCAAGATCCTTTTCCAGACCTCCTCCCTCAACCCACACCTCCCCTAAAGGTCTTCTTACTCCTCTCCTTTTTTTGAATTCTTCAAAAGCTTTTCTAGAAAAAGCTTCTCCACCCAAGAAAAATAATCCCAAAGCCTTGCCAACCTCAACATCCCTATTTGCAAGTCGCATCACATTCAAACTTCCTTCAAAACTGTAACTAGCTTGTCAACTTTCCTTGAGGCATCACAATTCTCCTCCTTAACTATTTCTTCTTCCTTGAAAGCTTCCAGCCTCCTAGTTCCCCTTCGTGCTCACGCCCTGCAGAAAACATTCTGTTTGTCACCTCCATCCCCACCAAAAACCTTCTGATTAATGACTTTCTTGCTTGCCCTCTTCTTTTATACACCCTTCTATATTTACTGCAAGGACAGGCACCAACCAGCCCCCTTTCAAATGACAGAAAACCTTCGTAACGTGCATCAGCTGAGATTTATTAAAACCTTTCTTCGCATCAACCCCTCCATCAGAGACCACAGAGACTAGAAGAGCCTACTTTCTACACAAATCCACTCCAACCTTTCCCACTACCACTTTTTCAACTAAAAGAATTTTTCAAACTCCTCTGAGGAATCACACTGTCCTCCACCCCAACAGGACCTGGCTCAATGTCACCAGCACAAACATCCAAAGCTTGCAGCACCACTGCTTGAGTGGAAAAGTTTTCTTCAGGACACAAAGACTCAAGGAACTAAGGACTACCTACCTGGTAGCTGAAAACGAACAACACTCAAATCAACTTCAATCAAACCTTGTCGAGAAGCCCCACAGTTCAAGTTGCACTTTAGTGAGAGTGGCTAATTTCCTATACTCTAGATAAATTTATATTATTTTTTGTATATTAATGCTAAGTTTTTTATTAATTTGTAAATTTTATTGGTTTGTAATTATTTTTAGGTAAAATTATAAAAATCTCCTCTTATAACAATTCTACAAGCCACCCTCGTGTTTTGACCCCTATAGTTTTGAAAAAAAAAAAGCAAATACTTCCTTTCCGTTAGCTTTTCAGTAAAAAAGACACTGAAGTTACAAAAATACCCTTATCATTGTTAAAGTGTTACCATACACAATTTAAAGTTTCAACTTTACCCTCCACTAATTTATTTTGCCTAACAACTTTCAAAGAGTAAATCTCTACTCTAGTTGGACGAAGGTAAAAGCTGAAGTGAAGTAAAAGGAAGCAAATCTTTTTTCAAGGTATTTTAGTAAACTTACATCTGAATGAAGTTAGTTAAGGGTAAATTTGGTATTTAAAAAATTAAGGCATTATATCAACATTTCCTATTTCAAATACTAATGAAAGGAAGGCATTTATGGACAGAAAATTATGACCAATTTATGAACAGCAAACATATCTTCATGGGATTCGTGGGATTCCCCTTTCTTTTGTTCTTTTAAGTTAGACTTGTAGTAGTTTTAAGATTTATTTTGTTAGCTAGTTGTTTTAGAAGTCAAATTTTAGGTCTTTGTTCCGTATTAGAAATTTGTATCAAAGTTGTAATTGGTCAAGAAGTCAAATTTAAGGTCTTTTAGGAGTTCTAATCAGTTTTCATGTCAATCCAGCTATACGTATGAGTTGAGAGTGATTAGGATTTTTACATCAGGGGAACAAGTCCATATAAGGTCCATATTGTTGCTATATAAGAGAAGGATAAGAATTTGAATTAAGTTTTGCATTTGGCTTAGTTTTCTCTGGTTTTGATGCCAAATTTCTAGTTTCTTCAAGAAGCTATTAGGTATCAGTTCCTAAAGTACGTCTACATGCTGACTCTTAGGCTGTGTTTGGTTTGAAGGAAAAAGTAGGGAAAGGAAGAGAAAGGTCGGGAAACCTTTACAAACCTTGTATAGGTTTCCCTTCCTTTCCCTACCTTTTCCTTCAAACCAAACATAGCCTTAGAGATGCCTAAGTGTTTGTTCCTAGGCTACTTGTCTTTTTCTAAGCTTGCAGGCCCATCCTGAATTAGTTTGGTACCAGAACAGTTGATCTTGAAGTAAATTTGTAAACAAGGCAGTTAAACCACATCAACAAACAAGATCCCTTGAAGTGACAGGCAAGGCACATGGCAACATGGTCATAGGCACAGTTTAAGAGTAGTCCACAGGTCAATGAGGGAAACAATAATTGATATTAAATGGACAAGAAAGTCAGCCAAAAGTGTTAAGACCCAGGAACCACGACATCAGCCCACCTAGACTCCAACGGCTAGAACCAGCCCAGCTCGAGTAGCAGCTGAGAAATCTCCCTCTAACGGCAAGCCTGGACCACCTGTTAGATTTGTTTATGTGAGAAAGCCACGTCAGTAGTCTGTTATAACAGCCCATGTGCAACATGAGCTAATGATTATAAATATCGGAATCACAGAAGGAAATAGTATTGAGCATCACTTCTCAGAATTCACTTTTCTACTCTTTCTTAGGAGGCAGAGCTGCCCTCGAAGCAGCTCCTGAGGTGGGCAGTAACCCATCAATTGGTATCAGAGCTAGAAGATGTCGACCACCTGATCGACAGCCATGGAAGAATGAGTGGAGAAACTGGAAACCAACATACATCAGATAACTGGAGATATGAAGGAGTTGAAGGAAGTCATCACGGCGATGTCCTCCCAACTCTCTGCAATAGGAGATTGTGACAATTAAGGCAAGAGTTCAAGTCAATCTGGCTTGAAGAGGAACAGAGGGTTATTGGGACGACTGGCGAAGATCGATTTTCCCCTTTTCTCGGGTGATGATCCTATCTCCTGGATGAATGGTAGTAGCGGCCTCCATTCATATGGAAGGAGAAGCTATACTTTGGTACCAATGGTACCATCAGTCTTACCCCCAGTTGACCTGGCCAGATTTAACTGAGGCCTTGTGCTGGAGGTTTGGACCTTCTGGCTACGAAAACTTGATGAAACTCTCTTTAAACTCAGGCAACTCAGCTCTGTGTGTGACTATCAACAAGAGTTCGAGTGCTTGGCAGCTAGGGTCTATGGATGGCCAAAAAATGCTTTAGTCGGAAGTTTTGTAGGTGGCCTGCGTGAAGACATAAGAATAGAGGTGTAGGCCCTTCACCCTGCTATTGTCGATGCCGCTTTAGGGCTGGCTAGGCTGCATGAAGAACGCATGAATCGACTTAAGAAGATAAACAAAAATCTTGGCCCAATTTTAAAGACCCCACCCCATCGGCTAAATCCGGGAAACCCGAAACCCGCTGGTCCAATAGTTCCCCTAAGAAAATTGACTTGGTCGGAGATGCAGTCACATCGAGAGTGTGGTTTGTGTTATAAATGCGATGAAAAGTTCACTCCCGGTCACTGCTACAAGAGCCAGCAACTCTTCCTTCCATCTGATGAAACTCTTAAGGAAGACAAGCCCCCAACCTTGGAGGAAGAACTTGAGGTTGATACAAACGAACCGGAGATTTCCCTACAGGCCCTGATTGGCCTAGATTCTCCCAGAACTATGAGAGTTAGGGGAATAGTCAAGGGACGTCAAGTTTCCATCCTAATCGATAGCGGCAGCACTCTTAACTTCATTACAGGGTCGTTGGCTCACCAGTTGGGCTTACCGGTTGAACCAGTCAAATTATTCTCAGTCCATGTAGCAGATGGGAACCAACTCAAATGTGATGAGGTGTGTCGAGCCATAGATCTCTTGGTCCAGGGGCACTGGTTCAGGGTTGATTTGCATCCGTTAAACTTTAGAGGGGTCGATGTGGTCCTTGGAGTCCAAAGGTTACACCAACTGGGACAGGTGGTATGTGACTAGGAAAGCCTTACTATGGAGTTTACTGTTGATGGAAAACTGCGCACCCTTAAGGGTTTGGAGCCTAACCAACCCAGTTCGGCCGGTTACAACTCTGTGGCCAAACAGTGCTAGCTCATGGAACCCCCCCCCCTCCCACATCCGTTATAATGATGTTGGGCCCTAACCTCAGTGGGTTGGTGCTAACAACTAAGGAGGCCTTATAGCCCTCACCAGAACAGGAGCAGGCCCTGCAACATCTACTGAAGGCTTATGAAGACATGTTTGTTCTCTAATCCTGTAAGCCTTCCACCCCCTAGGGCCCAGGACCTCTGAATCCCCATACAATCTGGAGAGGGGCCCGCAAGTGTGCGCCCCTACAGATATCCACACTACTAGAAATTGGAGATAGAGAAAATAGTAAATGAACTTTTGCAACAAGGGCTGATTCAACCCAGTTCGAGCCCCTACTTGTCCCCAACTCTCCTTGTCAAGAAGAAGGATGGAACATGGAGGTTTTGTGTGGATTGTTGTGCCTTGAACCAGATCATAGTCAAGGATCGATTTCCAATTCCTATTATAGACGAGTTACTTGATGAGCTCAGACAACTATTGTATTCTCAAAATTGGACCTAAGGTCGGGCGACCATCAAATTCGGGTCCATCCGACTAACATTCATAAAACAGCTCTGAACCCATGATGGGCATTATGAATTTTTGGTCATACCCTTCGGGCTGACCAATGCCCCGTCCACATTTCAGTCAGTTATGAATGACATCTTCCTTCCTTTTTGTGTCAGTTTGCATTGGTTTTCTTTGATGATATCTTGATATATAGCCCTGATTGGACCAGCCATCTTGGGCACTTGGATGCCACTCTGGAACTTCTTAGGAAGCATCAGTTATTTGCTAAATCCTCTAAATGCATATTTGGCCAGAATCAGGTGCAATACCTTGGCCATATAGTGTCTTAGGGAACTTTCATAGCCGACCCAAATAAGGTGACCAGCATGATAAATTGGCCTAAACCCTCATCAGTTCGCAGCCACGGGATTTCTTGGACTAACAGGTTACTACTGGCACTTCATCCACCATTACGGACTCCCAGCGGGGCCTACTTACATGGCTGTTGAAAAAGGATGCATACACTTGGGATGATGAAGCTGAATCTGCCTTTGTGGTACTTAAGAATGCAGTCACATCACCACCCACTCTCGCCCTCCCCGATTTCTCCCATGAATTTATCATCGAGTGTGATGCAAGTGGTTCTAGCCTTACTACCCTATGAGAAGGGATCCACTCAGGTAGCTGTGGTAGAGGACCAACTACTAGCTATAGATGCTATCATTCAATCCCTCAAGCACCATTTGGAAAGATCAAGACAAGCTATGAAGATCCAGTATGACAAAAAACATCGTGACATCTCTTATCAGGGAGGGGACCTAGTGTATATCAAGCTACAGCCTTACAGACAAACATCAGTAGCCCGAAGAGCATGGCAGAAGTTTTCACCCAATTCTTTGGGCCCTTTTGCATCTTAGAAAGGATTGGAGAAGTTGCTTATCGACTTGACCTCCCAGCCACTACGCGGCTTCAACCCACATTTCATGTCTCCATGCGGAAGAAAACATCTGGGAGAAGGGGCCATCACTCAGTCCTCGTTACCTGCTTTCACTGACGAAGGAGAATTGATAGTTCAGCCTCTCAAGATCTTAGATTTCCATTGGGTTAAGAATGGCAAAAAAAGTAGTCCAAGAAGGTCAGGTAGTTTGGGACCAACTCCTTGCAGAAGATGCCACCTGGGAAAATTTCCAGAGCCTCAAATAGCAATTTCCTCACTCCCACCTTGAGGACAAGGTTGATCTCTAGGAGGGAGGGATTATTAAGACCCAGGAAGCACGACATCAGCCCACCTGGATTCCAATGGCTAGAAGCAGCCCAGCCCAAGTAGCAGTTGAGAAATCTCCCTCTAACGGCAAGCCTGGACCACCTGTCAGATTTGTTTATGTAAGAAAGCCACATCAGTAGTCTGTTGTAACAGCTCATGTGCGACGTGAGCTAATGATTATAAATATCTGAATCACAGAAGAAAATGGTATCGAGCATCATTTCTCAGAATTATTACCTAAACAAGGGTGGAGAGGGAATCTATGTTTTGGGCTCAGATGTAATTTTATTGTTTCTCCTTTTTTCTTTTCTTTTCTTTGGGGCTCAAATTGTAATTAGAAGATAAGAAAGTTTGTCTTCCTCTTTGTAATTATTCTTATATTGAATTAATGAATTTGTTATTGATAAAAAAAAATCATTTCTCAGAATTATCTCTTTTTTTCTCTTTCTTAGGAGGTAGAGCTGCCCTCAAAGTAGCTCCTGATTCAATAGCAGAATTTGTGGGGAAGCTGGGATGTAGAATGGAAAACTTGAATGTTTTGAAAGGTGGCCTACAAAAGAAGGAGGAAATCAAAATAAAGAAAAGAAAACTGAGTGAAGTTGAGAGACTGAAAAGGAATGTGGAAGGTGATAAGAAGTTCGGGGTAAAAGGAGATAGAAGGAAAGGGGGGAAGTAGTGGTTAGGTGAAGAAGGGAACTAAGAAAGAAGTGATTATGAAGATACTTAGTTGGAATGTGAGGGGTTTAGGAAGTGCAAGGAAAAGAGCAACGATTAAAGAGGTGATAAAGAGGTTTGACCCAGACATTGTACTAATACAGGAGTCCAAGAGAATGGAGTTTGACACTAGATGGGCAAAGAGAGTTTGGAGAGCCAGGGGGATTAGCTGGGTGGCTGCTCCCTAATGGGGAGCTTCAGGGGGGGATAGTGACAATGTGGAAGAGGGGTGTGGTTGAAGGATTGGAGGAACTGATTGGAAAATACTCAGTCTCCCTGAAGTTTAAGCAGCAAGAGGATGGTTATGCGTGGGTGCTAACAAATGTTTATGGACCAAATGATTACAGAGAAAGGGAAATTGTGGGAGGAACTGGCTGATGTTAGAGGGCTATGGGATAGGCCTTGGTGTGTGGGAGGGGACTTCAATGTGATTAGATTCACAAAGGAAACCAATAATACTAATCAGAGGGTGACAACTAGTATGAGGAAGTTTAACCGGTTTCTGGATGCCTTTGAAATAAAAGAGATATCTTTAGCCCACAAGACATTCACTTAGTCCAATCTCCAATCAAGTCCCATCTGCTCTAAGCTTGATAGGTTTCTGTTCTCTTTGGATTGGGAAGAACATTGGGGGAACTTAGCCTCTAAAGCTCTTCCTAGGCTGACCTCTGACTATTGGCCCATAGTGATCTGCAAGGAGGAAAGAAGGAGTGGAGGACCTGCCCCCTTTTAGGTTTGAAAATATGTTGTTACTTCATCCTAGGTTTACTAAGAGAGTAGGGGAGTGGTGGAATGAGTATAACCCAGTAGTGGGACGGGAAGGTATGAGGTTCCATAAGAAACTTCAATTTTTGAAAGCAAAGATCAAGGAGTGGAATCAATTGGAGTTTGGAAGGTTAGAAGAAAGAAAGAGAAATTTGATGGACCGAATTGAGCTCCTTGACTTGAAAGAAGAAAGGGGAGAATTTGGAGAGCCAGACAAGGAACAAAGAAGAGGTTTGAGAAGATAGCTAGAAGGTTGCCTACATAATGAGGAAATAAGTTGGAGGCAAAAATCTAGATGCAAATGGCTACAAGATGGAGATAGAAATACTAGGTCTTTTCATTCTATGGCAAATGAGAGGAGAAGGAGGAACTTTATATCCAGACTGGAAATGGATGGAGTTGCTCTGACACAATAGGATGACATAGCAGGAGCCTTTGTGGAACACTTTAAGTCCATCTTAAGAAGGCCTTTAAGTATGGGGTGTAGTTAGAAGGACTGGACTGTTCAGATATAGGGGTAAACAATAGACAGAGGTTGGAAAGAAGGTTTGAGTTGGAAGAGATTAAGGAGGTTGTGTTTTCTATGGACAGAACAAAAGCTCCAGGCTTGGATGGTTTTACGATGGCTTTTTACCAAGATTGCAGGGATATTTTGGAAGGTGACCTTTTGCTAGTGTTTGAGGAATTTCATTGGAGAGGAGTTATTAACCCTGGAGTGAATTCCACCTTCTTGGCTTTGGTCCCAAAAAAGAAAGATGCATCCCATCCAAAGAATTTCAGGCCAATCAGTTTGGTAAATAGCTTGTATAAGATATTATCAAAGGTGTTGTCTTTGAGATTGAAGGAAGTATTGCCAGTAATCATTGCACCAAATCAAGGAGCCTTTGTGAATGGAAGACAAATTACTAATCAAAACCAAGTATAGGTCATTTCTCACCAATTGCAGTAACAATGTGTTTATTAGGGAGATGGGTCTTGGGATACTGACCAAAAGTGGCCACCGTCATGTGGTTAGAGGCACTAAAGTCAATAATCCAAAGGTAAATTGATGAAGGGCAGTAGGTAGGAGACTTACCAGACAGACCAATAGCAAAAAAGGCAAAAGAAATGATCGAGGACATGAGTTGTCGAATCCTTTCTTCAGATATACCACCAGAAGTATCATTCTATCCAGCCACTGAAGCAATGGTAGAGGAGAGATCTGAGTTCTCTACGGAGGTTTGATCAGTATTTTAAAAGCGCAAGGCACAAAAAAAGGCGCAAGGGCCAATTTTCGCCACAAGGCGCAAGGCAAGGCGTGTGCCATGTTAAGAAAGGCGCAAAACTACAAATAAAAAGCTAAAAAATCAAAAAAAAATGTCAAAAAATTAAAAAAAAAATGTCAAAAAAAATTAAAAATGCAAAAAACATTAAACATAAAGTTAATAAAAAATATAAACATAAGTTTTAAAATAAATGTTTTAAAAAACCAATTATCTAAAATTAAAATACATAAACATAACATGTAAAGCGTATTCAAATGAAAATTTAAAAATAAAAGCAAACATATAAAGCATTTTCAAGCATGTAAAACCCACAATCTTTTTTTTCCTTAATTGCATTGCTTCAAGTAGCTAATGTGATGTAAAACATATTGCATTCTTGATTCTATGAGTCRCCTTTGTACCACGCCCCTCGAGGCAAGCCCGAACAAGTCTATGTTAGGGTTTGAAATTCTTATTTCTCACATGAAAAATAATGATTTTATAACTTTAATTGCCTTTTAAGAAGATATTTTATAGGAATGAATGAATGAACAACATTAGCAAATAGGGGGTTCTCCCAGCCGTTAAACTCAAAAAAAAAGGTAAAAAGCGCAAAATTTTAAAAAGATGCATGCCTAGGCTAAGGCGCAAGGCACACTAGGCGTGTGCTTAGGACCTGGGCGAGGCATATACCCCAAAATGTGCCTCGCCTGTGCGCCTAAGCACGCCTGAGGCGCACCTTTTAAATCATTGAGTCTAATAGGCTTTATAAGTTCCTTTCTTCTTATTTGACCCACCACCTTTCTGGGGTCAAGTGGGGCAATCTGTAATGATGTGCCTGGATTGTTTGCAATAGGTACAAGTGTTCTTGTAGTGTGAGACAACATGCCCAAACTCCTTGCATTCATAGCACTGTTCTCGGGACAAATCCTTCTTCCCCTTAGGTTTTGTTGCAAGAAGAACAACATCTATGTTTAGATCCTTCCATCCATCAAGAGTGGTTTGTGTAACAAACCTGGTTCCTACCCTCAAGATTTCCCTAAGAATAGTATCCAAATCAAAAAGAATTCCTCGGCTAAGGATATTGGATCTGACAACTTCAAATTCTGGTCTGAGTTGCATTAGGAAATGCATAATCTTCCTTCTATCAAAGTGCTCTTTCATATCCTTCACACAACAATCTAACGGATCCTTTCCCATATGTACCAGCTCATACTCTGTCTAGAGATTAATATATCTTGCATAGTATTCCCGAATTTTCCTTTCTCCTTGATAATATGAAAAGATATCAACTTTTATTTGGTATTATCTAGAGGCGTTTGACTGTTGATATACTTTCTCAAGATACTTGTACATCTCATAAGCAATCCAACATCCCCTCATAGGAATTGCAATGTCAATTTTAACTGATCCTAGGATCTGTGATGCAATTTTTGCATTATCAATCTTCTACTAATGAAGAGCCTTAATATCTGAATCATCAGGTTTAGTTACAGATCCATCCAGATATCCCCAAAGTCCCTTTGCTTCAACATGAAATTGAAAATTAAATTTCCATAATGCAAAGTTTGTACCATTGAACTTGATAGGGAGAACTACCATTCTTTTTGACGCCATTGAGCGACAAAGACAGCAGTGCACACTTCCAAAAGAAAATATAGGCTTCAAGTCAAAAGGTAGAGAGAAGTACCATTCAGTTGATTTCTAGAAAAGGAAACTATAATGGTCTACTGAACCCAGAAGTAGATCAAAACCCTTCTAGATCAAAGCCAATCCAAAACCAAACCAAAAAGAATCAATAGATCTCCTCTGGGCAACACCAGATCTAAATTTTCAGGCTGATCTGATGTTTCTACAAAGAGATCCAAGGAGAGAAAGATTTCTGATGGCACAACAGTCCAAAAAACTGATCTGTAAAGTTTTGATTGAATCAGCCGTAGAAAAGGGATTCAAGGGCACTCGAGGGCTTCCCAAATGCTGTTATGGAGGCCTCAAGAGAACAGTAAAAACACGGATTGAACAAAGCTTTATGCAGATCCAAGGAGACAAACACTTTGGTGAGTGTGTCAAAAGTGACTATCAACACCCTAAAGAAAGATATTTATATTAATAAAAGGTAAAAGGACAAAACTGCCCTTAGTATACAAAGATAGTGTAAACACAAACTACTATACAAGAAAGAAAGTAAAAGTACAAAAATAGCCCTTGGCTAACTCTATCTCTACATTTTAAACCTGGCCTGGAGGTTGAACCATTTCCTCCTAGGTCATGGGTCAGCAGTTCAACTATCCAAGTCAATAGGTCACTCTGTATTTTGACCAAACTAGGACAATGACTGAGTCAATGATGGATAGAAAACAGTGCTTCTACATCCACACCTTAGAGACTGAGGACCTAGCTTGCAGCCGGATAGGATGGATAGCTTGTAATAGTCCAGTCATCTCATCCACCTCCCATTCATGCAGATTTCTTCAAAAATGGGGTGCCCATATGATGCAAATATGGAAGCAAGGAAAGAATCCATAGAGAAATAAATCAGTCTTCCAATTCCTATACCAATTTCAAAATTTTTGGGTGATATTGGTAGTTTTGTGCTTTTAAATTTATTTTCTAAGCTCAAGTTGTAGCTAGTAGGTGTCTTATGATACTTTCTTCGTGTATTTCTGTTGTTTGGCTCCAGGCTTGTTTTGTGGAAGCCCGTGTTTTGTACCCTTGCCTGCTGTCCTGTTAGCAGGTTTTCTTTTTAATGAAAGTATTGTTGATTATCAAAAAAAAGTATAGGTGTCTTAAGATATCAATATTTTTTTCTGAAACGCAACAAAAAGCATTGAATTATATTACTATAAGAAGGGTGAGACACCCTTAGAATTTACAAAAATGTTATATATAAAGCACTGTAGCATATACAATATATACCCCAAAGAAACATCAAAAAATGATAGAAAACCAATGTTCCTCCCTGTAATTTGCAGCTGCTAGAAGACTGAAAGAAAAAGTAAAGCTATCACGGGTTGGTGGCAATCTCCTACGCATTTTTGCTATAGGTTAGGAATCATTATCGAGGGTGTCTTGGATTCAGAAAATCATCAGATAAAGGTGTTAGAAATGAAAATGTCAGAGGATGGGAAGTGGGAAGAAGAGATGACATGCATAATTAAAACAATGGTGACAGAAATGACAAAGAGCAAGAGAAGCTTTCCATTAATAAATCAAATCCAGTTTTTGGACACATAGGCATGCAGTTATTTTGACATTTTGAGGTTATGAACAGCCTTAGTGCCTTTCATGGAGAGATGAAATTGTGTTTGATATTTCTCATACTCCTTTCTATAATCTATACCATACTGGATATTCTGTTGTGACTTGTGAAGTATATTCCCAGATTCTTCCAGCCCCTGGCCCCAAACAAAAGAGAGCTATATTAATGATACAATTGCTTTTCTTTTTCTAGTTCGTAAATATTATATGCTTCTTAGATTACACATCTGGAGCATTATTGCTGCAGTCTGCACCAAAAAAGACTTAACAATAAAGGCACCCACAGGAGTGTTATAATGAAAGGGCATGTGCAGATCAGAAGAAAATGGTAATCAACTGGGTATAGAATTGGAAGATAAGATTTGGAGGGGTTAATCCTCTGGTGTCTATACAAAAAAGAAAAAGGACAAAGAGATCACATTTAAGCCGATGCATTTAATGGTTTGAATAGGAATTAGGGGGCATGTTCTGAAATGAGATGTGTTGACCAAGCATCAACAAAAAGAGGAAAAAAGGAACAAAACCGCAAGAAATGAGAACCATAAGAGAAAAAAGAGAAAGAAACACTTTGGAAATACAATACCAATTTAAGGAAAGATCAACAGTTCACCACAACCACTGCAAAATTCCCAATCACAAAATAATAAATATATGCACCAAAACCTTCAAACAATATAAAGATCAATGACTCCAGAATGTAGAGATAATCCATGGAGACAGAGATGGAGATCAAACACAAGAAAAGATCTATTAAAAGGTATTTTTGAGTTGAAGCAAATAAATCTTCCTCCTCAGAATTCATACTCTTTATCCATATTCACACTATGCCAATCCATCAAACTTCATGCCACAGAGAAGTTTGTGATTGGCTTTGCTTCCTGAATTCAAGTACTTCAAAAGGTAAAGATCATTGCAGGTTAATACACATGACAAAAATACGTAAAGAATACTATATTGAAGTGCTCATCATATACAGAGTAATTATCAAGGTTATATGCCTGTCTAGAGAGAGAACTTATGGGGATCCAAAGACTCTGTTTAACCAATGATCTCATGCTTCTTTGTTTTGATGTTATTATTACGGTTAGGAACTAGGATTTGTTTCTTTTGCGCAAGTGAGAGAGAGAGAGAGATCTAATACCAGTTAGCTGTAGATATGCGTTGGGTTGCGCTGCTACAGTCGGTGGAATAGCGCGGTAGCGCCACCTGGTGCTGGTTCTAGCTTCTGCAGGACAGAGGAAGGGCGAAGGTGCCGATTCTATTTCTAGGTTTTACAGAGAGAGAGAGAGAGAGAGAGAGAGAGAGAGAGAGAGCGGAAGCAGGGACCAGGGAGAGACAAGAGGGCGTTTTCTTCAGCATTAAGCTTGGGAATTGGGATAACTGACCCATCGAACCGAACGGTTGAACCTATGACCCTGAACCGCCAACGGCCAGCTCTAGCGGTTCGACGTGACGGCAAGTCAGAAAGAACGTAAGCCGAGTCAAATCAAAAGTTTCTCTTTGTGGATGGAAGGTTGTGGATTTGTGTGTCTCAGTCTCGCGGATCAAATGGAGACAAAAAGCGAAGGAGTAAAGGAAGCGTCGACTTGAGATTAGGTAATTTCGTTTCGTTATTTTAAAAGAAATTCTTAGAGGGTTAAAGCTCTTCCAGTACCATGTTCCAAGCTTTCCGCCATCATAGATTTTCCTTTCCCTTCCATCAAATGATGTTAGCTAATCTCCCACTTCAGGCATCTTTCCCCCATAATCCACCATTACTACTGGCCTCAGATTTCAGACCTGTATATAAGGCCAACATATCTACCAAAGAAGATGAATTTCGATTACCAATTAAAAAAAAAACTTTTGAGCAACACATTTCACAGTTAACGTATTGGGACCTGAAGATTTCAGTTGCACCTTATACACACAAATATGAGTTTATCACACCACAAGAATCTTTACCTTCTTTCAGTCTGTAGCAACAGAATCAGGTCGATTTAAAGCTAAATGATTAGCAGAGATTTCTTTTTTTGGAAGAACGGAAAAAATCTAGAAACAGAACAAAAACTAAGACAGGGTTTGTCTTTCCAACATCGACATTCCAACCTAGGCAATCAAAAGCAAATGGGCAGACAAAACTAATACAAGTAAAACTATATTAGATGCAAGAGCATACACAATGGCCTAGGCTTAACCAAAATCTTAGTGAAAAACAAATAAGCCCAAGGCTACAAGCTTTTTTCACTAGTATGAACTGATTAAGCTAAGAAATCTCTTCTTTTTACTAGCTTGCAATGTTTTCTTTTCACTTAGCAATTTTCACAATTCAAGCTCTTTAGGTTTTTTCAATCCAAAACCACTAATTTTTAGTGGTTAAGAGCATATAACCGTTACCAATTCATTGGGAATGATTAAATCATACTTAGAAATGTTTAGAGTAAGTTCCCAACAAAATTGAAGGCTTACTAGAAGAGGAAATAGTCAACTGTCACAACTTAGTAGTTGACTACTATGCATGGGCCATAGGGAGGAATCTTTTTTCTCTAGTAGTTGACTATTTCCTCCTGATAGTTGACTACTAGAAAATACTCAGCCTTAGCTATGAGAGATAATCAATTATTGATTTTTTGTAGTCAACTATCAAGCAGTGTGCTAGTAACACTAGCATCGAGCGTCATAGGTAGTTGACTATACCTTCATAGGTAACAAACTATTGACTCCAAAAGTCTAGAAATCATTTTCTTAGACTTGCAAACTTAGATTTTCTATATTTAAGTCCAATGGTGGCCCACATTTCTGCTACAGAATTTGTCTTATAGCCAATTTGGCCATTTTTGTTAAGATTATATCACCTTTGAAATTTCTCATGATATAACCATAGGTGCATCTTCCATTTTATTTTGTAGAAGCATCAAAATTGATTTTTACTCTGTGGTCAAGTTGGCTCTGCCCAAGTTTTTCTTGTTCTTATTTTATACATAAATAAATTTTGTTAACCAACTGAATTAAAACATATATATACAAGGTATCCATTAACCAAGGTGGTGGCCATTTGATGTTTTCATATATTGGGCCACCAAATGAGCTGGTGCATTAAGGTCCCAAGGCTAAGTAATGGCTTGATGAGCATATTTAACCCAGAATTTGCCTGATTTTCCCACTGAAATTTCCAAAAATAGGAGTATGAAGAATATTAGCTACCACACTGATGGAGAAAGAATTTTGGTATATCTCGAGTCATTTGTAGGAAACAAGACTTTAGGGGGAAGAGAATATTAGCTGCCATTTTCTCGATGTTTTTCATGTTGTACAAAGAAAAACAAAACCTTATTGCCAAAAGATAAAAGAAGAAAGAAAAGCACTATTATAGTTTAGAAAGCAGGTTGTTTACAGAAAATATCGTTTCCCCCTAAAATTTCAGAAATCGGGTCTGCTGAGTGCTGAGATTAGCCGAATCAATGCCTGCAACTGCCATACAATTGAATGCTCACAACCCCATTATCGTAGAACACAGAATCTCACTATCACAGCCATCTGTGAAGAGCCTGATTTACAGGAACATCTTATGTTCTTGTATCGACTCTCATGGAAGAAATAAACCTTTGTGGAGTGCTTCAGAAATAGCAGAAGCTGTGAACGGAAGAATCATAAAATGGGGTCCCTCTGGAACAATCTCCACAGATAGTAGAACTCTGAAGCCAGGCCAATGGTTCTTTGCCTTAGTTGGGAAAAACTTCAATGCCCATGATTTTGTGAGCCCTGAATTATATGGAAAAGGATGTGTTGGTGTCATAGGTAATCATGTTTGCAAAAAATGGGAGATGGGTTTTATTCAAGTAGAGGGGGATACTTCAACAGCATTGCAGAAGATGGCAAAGTATGCTAGGAAGAGGTTCAATGGTCGTGTGGTAGGAATCACTGGAAGTGTGGGAAAGACTACTACAAGAACAATGATAACGCATGCTCTGGAAACAATTGGTTCAGTTTATCAGACGCATGGTAACCAGAACAATCACATTGGAGTTGCTTTGAGCTTAATTGGCATTCCAGGAAATGTTGACACTGCAGTTCTGGAGCTGGGAATGAGTAGTAAGGGAGAGATTCTGGAGCTTGCACAGATGTGTCGACCATCGGTGAGAGTGCTTTTGAATGTTGAACCCTCTCATTTGGTGAATTTTGGGAGCTTGGAGGAGGTTGCAAGAACCAAAGGGGAGATTCTCTTGGAGGCAAACCCAGGGGATATCTGTGTTCTGAATGCAGATGATCCTCTTGTTATGAACCTTCCAGTCCCAGAGGGAGTTAAAAAGGTTAGTGATGTTCTAGTGCTAATTTGTTGTTTTCTCTTTAATTTATTAATCTATTTATTTGTTGCCTATTTAACATATGAATGTGCATTACATTGTTAATTGACCCTCGTATAACCTGTTTGCTCTCTTGAATACAAGGCAAGTCCACTCTGTTTGCACTCCTTAGAAACCCACCAAATTGATATCAATGTCCAAAGCTTCTTAATATCAATTGTTCTGTTTATGTGGTATCACTGGACTGGTATCCAAGGATTAAGTTTTTTTTTCTTTTTTTTGAGGCGGAATGGTATACAGGGGATTGTTGCAAAATTCATGTCTAATTGGTTAGATACTTTTTAGGAAGAGATATACAAGTTGATCTAATGGTCATGGAAAATTTGGTAAATGGCATATAAAAGGGATGGTCATTGTAAATAAGTGGAATTAAATATTTCTTTATATGTTAACTACATGTATTATTGTTTCCCTTATTTGTTTTATAATGTAGCTGAAATTACAGAAATCTCATTAGATTGGCATATGTATATTCACTTTATAGAGTACACTCATGTTACTTGAAACAAATATTGGAATTCATCCCTTACCCTTACTTTAGCTGCTTTATCTGGTTTTCTATGCATTTGTTGCTTATTTAGTTGGATGGTTCAGCTCATTATCCATCAGCTCTTAAATTTATATAAATTGAAATGGACAAAGGATAGTCCAACATTTGATTGAATTGTGATGATCTTGTTTGGGTTTAGGTACTTTTTGGCAGGAGAATAGGGTGTGATGTTTGCTTAGTTCAGGCGGAAAGTACTAATGGTGGTTGTGGAGTTCGAGTAAAACTGGAAAGTACTACTGAACAGTAAGTCATTTTTCATCAGCTTGGTTAGATTAACTCTTTTCAACTACTCTTCTTATGTATAGGGGTTTCTACTCAGTTACCCAAGTTAAACATTTCACACTGCATCATGCCAGATCCATAAAATTTGATAAATCCTAAACCTGATCCTGCCCAAGTTGCACCCTTGTATATGTATTATTTCACTTTGAGATTTTCTCTGCTCAAAATGTGTGATAGGGAAGTCCATTTACATTAATTGATCAGCCAGCCTGTGCAGTTGGAAGAAGAATAACATTGCCTTGCACTTACAATTATCAATTCAACTATGGTTTATCCTCTATTTGATTAGATATTGGCAATCCCTTCATGACAATAGGTGACCTCATATTTGGATAGTGCCTTCTCACAAGCATCTAAGCTTACAGGTTTGATCTAAAGTGGAAGAAGAATATGAAAATGCCAATCTGCAAAACTTGAAGCAATTGACTCAGTGATATTAACACAAATCAGTTGCACTTGATTAATAAGTAGATATCACATGATTTAAATTTGGATCATTTTTTAGGTCTATTGCTACCCTGCAGGAACTAACAGCCATTATGGTTATGAAAAGATCTTTGACTTTCTAGTTGGATCTTTAAACCATGGATGGTATTACTGTTTTATCAATTCTATCTCATATCTTGGTGCTCTAAATGTATTACTGGATTGTTCACTATGATATATTTGTGGTTAGAAGTATATCACTATTCTTAAACATTGTAGCTTTCCACACATATGCTTAACTTTTAAATGGGTACTGATGTTCAGGGTTGAATTTGTGATTCCTAGTCCGGGTATGCATTTGGCAATCAATGCATGTGCTGCTGCTGCAGTTGCAGTTACTTTCGGAGTTTCTATGTCTGAACTTGGAGAGTCCTTATCAAGATTTTTACCCGTTCACATGAGAGCTAAGCTTGAAATTGCCCAAAATGGCATCAAAATAATTAATGATGCCTACAATGCCAACCCCACCAGCACCAGAGCAGCAATAGATTTGCTAAAAGCAATGGATTGCAATGGCAAAAGGGTTGCTATTCTTGGAGATATGCTAGAACTTGGTCCAATGGAAAAAGAGGCTCATGAGATTGTGTTGAACCTCTGTTGTGATGCCCATCTTGGTCTGGTAGTATTGATTGGGAAGAGATTTCTAGCTGCAGCTGAGAATTTGAATTTAACTAGGAAGATAAATTTTATGTGCACACTTGAGGTAGAAGAGCTTTCACTAAAAATTGCAAAAAGGTTAAGCAGTAGCGATATTGTTTTGGTGAAGGGTAGTCGTGGATTGCAAATGGAGAAGGCTGTTGCTGAAATCAAGGCCATGCATTTAGATGGTTCCTGTTAAACTTTTCTCAGCACTTTATAATTGAAAATAGATGTTCTCAAATATTTTTCAAACTTCTGGGTTGGCTCTTATTTTACTAGATTTCAGAGAAGTGTCTGTATTAAGAGTCTTTTGAGACAGTCTTTTAGGCTATGTTAGAGCTGGAAAATGTTTGGCGTGGTGGTAGTAAAATAGAATAAAAGATAGTTGTGATTTTCAGTTGTTTATACTTTGTTTTGAGTGATTACTCATCACCCTTCATGATTGTAATCTTTTATTCTATTTGAATGAAATTTTCTTCTGCACTTGCAATCAAAAAAGAAAAATGTACATTTCTCTTAGACCCAAGTAGTGTAAATGGGCCCAACCCAAAGGCCCTAGACCCAAGTAGTGTAAATGGATTGGTTTTTGCCAAAGTTCAAATGGGCCCAACCCAAAGGCCCTAGACCCAAGTAGTGTAAAATGCTAACTTAGGCCAATCCAAGTTTCACCCCTAGAGCTAGCTAGTGTTGTAATCAGGTCAGATTTGAATCGGATGCCACCAGATCCAATTATTAAATACTTAAATCCGAAATTCAATCAAATTTAGGGATCTTGAATCAGATTGAGATTTAATCTGAATCCACATTGTTAATTTTTAAAAGGGCCATTTACCTTATAGTTTGTGTTTTACTGAAACACCCCCTATAGTTTGCAATATCTGTCCATTAATTTGAATAAATTAATCAAGAGAAAATAAAAGTAAAAATACGATTTTGTCCCTAGTAAGGCATGAACAACCACTATTTCGTCAATTTTGTTTTCTGTAAGAAGTGTTGAAGATTTTTTTTATTGGAAATGGTAACTTCATTAATACAACTTAAGAATAACTTTTCAGAGTTAAGTACAACTGTCAACCCCTAAACAGGTGTTGAGCCCTCAATAATCTTTCTTACAAAACTGCCCAAAACATTCTCTCCCTCACAGTCCCTTGTTTAGCCAATGTGTCAGCTAAACCATTAGTTGATCTCCTTGTCCATTTGAAGCATGCACCAATCTTCCTTGCTGTGTTGAGGATTTCCCTTATTGGTTGTCTATAAATCCAGACTCCCAACTTACCAAATTGCAACCACTCAATCAACATTTTAGAGTCTCTCTATCTCAATTTGGTATAACCCCAATTGTTTGGCATATCTTACACCTTGAAGCAAGGCCATCACCTCCGCTCTCAATGAATCCCCCACTCCTATTGGTCCTGAAAACATAGCCGCAATTCTGTCATTTTCATCTATGAATACTCCTCATATACCTGAAGGGCCTGGGTTACCTCTAGAACTCCCATCGAAGTTCAATTTCACTCTTTGTTGTGTTGGTGGGGACCACAACTCCTGTACAATAGGTTTTATGGAAGTGTAGAAGTCTTTAAACAAATCCAAAATTTTCATCCATTGAATAGTCATAATGATTATCCTTTCTACAATTGCCTCCTTGGATTTCTCTACTCCTTTAAAGATTCTATTGTTCCTTTAATTTCTTCCCAACTGACCATAAGATAGTTGCTCTTGTGGCTTTCCACATTAATCTTCCACATCTCTTTCGGTTGCCTAAAAAATCTTGGGTCAAAAAGGCTTGCCACACTAGGGGAGGTGTCCACCTGCAACCAAAGATAGAAGAGAATCAGGCCCAAATAAAACACACAAATGGACAATAAATTAATAGGTGTGTGATCATCTCACCAGAGCCCAAGCAAAAGCTACAAACATGGGGTGATAGGCAAACATTTGGCCTTTTTCTTTGCAACATATCTAGAGTATTGATTTTTTGGAGAACCACCTCCTAACAAAAAGCCTGAATTTTTGGGGGTATAAGCTAACACCAAATCTGCTTTGAAGGGAAGCTCCTTGTAGGGCTTGATGATTGAATGAGGAAATAAAAGGAGGAACAAGTGAACACGCCAGATGGGGAAGGTATCCAAATTCTATTGTCCAAACAAGATTGATCCAGGTAGGTTGACCCTAGAAGGTTAATTAATTAATCCACCATTGACATTTCCGACTCCTTTAGACCTCTCCTCAAACCCAAGTCCCAAGAAATATCCATAAAAATTGAAGATATCACTTTTCTTTTATTTTCTTATAGTGAATAAATAGAAGGGAACTTTGCACTAAGGAGAATGCCTCCAACTCAAACATCTTCCCAAAACAACACTTTATTTCTTGTACAAGCATCAAATTTGACGTAAGGAAGGTTTTAGGTTGAATGGTTCTTTGAGATGGTATCAAAGCCATTTTGACCAAGTGGTCTAGTGTCGAGGATAATTTTAGAATAAGCAATAATAGGCCCATGCCCTTGAATATTTTCTACTTAGTTCAGTTGATCATGTTACTATTTTCAAATGGCAAAATAAACACTAGTGAAAGGTGGATAAAGTAAATATTTTTTATTTAGTGCAACAACTAGAATTCGGATGCAAATTGGATACTATCAAACAAAATGGTTTGAAATTTCTTACATTGCAAAGAATGGTTTATGTGGAAGCAGGCTTAAAATTTCTTACACTCTATTATCCAAAATACACTGCAATTTGGAAAGCGCCATTTAGGTATAGAATAAAACTTTTCTGCTAACTATTGGTGTTGAAAAAATTGTTCACCGAGTCAAATAGATCTCAAAGGTTTTAGACTTTTAGTATTAGTAATATTTTCAATTTATGCCAATGCAGTGAAGAAACTCTAGATCATGTTTTCAAAAATTATGACATGATTGCCAATTGATGGACAAAGTTTGGAGTTTATTCTTCTAATTCTCTGTCAGAGTGGATCTTTGAAGTATTATCTTCCAACAAACAACAAATAATTCAAACCAAGTTGTGTATAATAACTTAATTTTGCAAGGTCGAAATGAAATTACGTTTCAAAATAAGGAATTCAAGGAACATCTATATATTAAAATGGAATGTGCCAAGTTGGCACTTTTCTATTTTATCGTTTATTCTCAAAGTCACTTATCTTTTTTTCTGGTTTCTTCTCAAATGCACCAATCTTTTTTCTGGTTTTTTTGAAATTTCTAATTTTAAAATGAACAAAATAACTCAAGTGACCAATCACCTTTAAGACTTTTAACACACCTCATTAATATACCTCTCTCTTTCCTCATTAATTATAATGCCATTACCTCTCTCCTTTAATAACTCATACCACTAATTCTCTAACATCTCCATTACTCCATTAAATTGCATAAAACATTAAATTTACCTATATATCCATTTCAACTTAACTATAATTTTATATATTATATATTTTTTCATTAAACTGTAATTATTAGTAAAGATTAATTATATTAATATTGATATATTCAATTATGTCATTGAGAATATTATAATCCATTTAAAATTGAGATATTCAATTATTGCGCCAAATAATCTACTTCCATTTAAAATTGTAATCCATTTATGTTCCATTTGAAAATGATAGAGATTAATTAACCATAACAAAAATAATTTAGTAAGTTACTTAAATAAAATAAAATTAATTATTGTTATTGATAAAAATATGTTTATTAATATAATAAGAGGAATAAGATAAATTAAAAACTAATATCAATTTAAAATTAATATACAGCTAATACAAGATTATCAAGCAATTCTCAGTTTTATAATTAAATTTTATTAACTCAACTTAAGTTCCACTGAAAATAAAACTTTACACAGTTAATTAAATTCCATAAGTAATTTGAATTTAATAAAAAATTAATATACTTAAATAAACTTAATTTTAAATATAATCTAATTATTTTAAAATCAACAAAAATATGAAACTCCCCAGTATTTTGACCTTAACAATAGCTTTTCGCCAACATTCCAAATAAAAAATGTTGATGCAATGCATTAATTTTACTTCACTTCAACCTTTTTACCTTACTTTGTCCAAGAAAAGTAAGGGGGATTATTCTTTGAAAGTTGTCTACCAAAATAAATTAGTGAAGGGTAAAGTTGAAACTTTAAATTATGTATGATAGTATATTTGCACTTTTTTCTCAAAACTATAGGGGAGGGTAAAATTGGTAACTTCAATGTCTTTGTTATCAAAAACCCAAGGGAAATGAGGTACTTGCACTTTTTTCTCAAAACTATTAGGGAGGCCTTTGTTAGGGTCAAAATAAATTAGTATTAAGATACAAAAAAATAATCAAATTTATCTTTGGAATAGGAAATTGGACACACACACTCTCTCTCTCTCTCACACACACACAAAAGTGCAACTTAGATTATGATTAGATAAACTAAACATAACCCAAAAAAAATAATATATGAATTCAACTTATATGGACACCATTTAATTGGAAATGTCATAGAGCTCCATATTCAATTTTTCCTATAAATGCAAGCCCGTGCATCGCACGGGTCATGACTAGTCTTAAATTAAGGGTAAAAGATTTAAACCTCCCTTTAGGTTTTTGAAAAATAAAACATCCCCTCTTCTCTTTTTAAAGGACTCAAACCTCCCCTAGCAAAATAATACCCCATTATATTTACTTAATTCTTCAAAAGTTGTATCCCACCTTTACTTGAATTTGGCCCAAATTCCTATCTTTTGAGATTCCCCACAAGTTTTGATATAGAGCAAATCCTTGGCAAGGGCCTATCACCTATGGCTCTTTGATAATGATCTACCAATTACCCATTGCTTATCTTAAATCCTCTATTGTTGAACGCATTATGTCTGTACTTGGCCATACACCCTACTGAATAGCCATACTATTGATACCCATCTCCAATATGAGTATCTCCCACGCTTTTGTTCGTTTTGTGTATTGCTGCTCTTCTCCCCTAGAAGCGTCGGATTGCTACTTTACCCCAACTACATAGGAACATATCAGAGCTCGCTTGGTTGATCGTATCACAATGGACATTTGAGTGCAACTCTCCAATCGTCTGATAGAACACCAGATGGATAATGCATGGACTTGACGTGCATGAATCCAATTATCATGCAAATCTATCTATTTACGATAACAAACTCTCAATGTACCAATCTATAAACACATATCAATCTCGATCATTCTAGATCATCCGAAGATTGTTTCTCTTTCTCAATAGTCTAGTTATACTGTTCTCCATTGTTATTTTATTGAGATCTTTTATTTACAAATTATCTATTCTAAAACTCTATCTTGGTATCAGAGCTATGTTGATGGAAACAGGAGCTCGTGACAACAGCAACCCGGTTTCCTCCAACAATGGTCGTCAACAGTTTGTCTCCTCAACTGTTACGAGTTCACTTCCTTCAATCCAGAATGTAACCCACTATCTTCCTGTTAAACTGGG